GGGGGGGTGTGTGTGACACAATATACCACACCCCCCCTGGACCGGTTTTCAAGGCTCGAACACTCCACGACGAATGAAGAGGATGCCGGCATCGTGTGACACGTTTTCGGAAAGAGACCGTTTCCAACGGTGTCATTTTCGGCACCGCCGCTGTCTCTGCTTTGGAGTAATCGAGCTCTGAAAAATCGATCCGGGGGTGTGTGGTATCTCGTGTCACCTACGGTGGTCGGGGCGTGCGTGAAAAACGACGGCGATCGGTTGAATAGTTAGTTGGTTCACTCTCGTTGAGCAGGTCAGCGGCCATGAAGCGAGTCGTTGAGAGAGCGCATTCAACCACGGATGATGGGATATCGCTCTTTCCAGCCCCCTGCTTGCATTACGAGGGAACCCTCCTCCCTATGAGTTTCGGCCGATTCTTCGTTTTTCCCAGTCGACTCGGCGGCGTATTTTTGTTTGGTGTCGTGAACACGATGCTACACCTATCAATGAATCAAGAGATGTCTTAAACACGATGCTATAACAGTGTTGTACCTACAGCAGTACCATCCAATAAAGAGTGTGTTGGAGAGTTCTCGACTGATCGCTGTGACTCTTTCGCTCCATGTGTCTCTCTGGAACCGCGTCTCCGAACGCCGGGGCTCACAGGGCGAACAGGGAAAAAGAGGCAGCGTTGCGCAAGCTCAAGGATGCGGGCCAAGGCCACGATGGGGTGTGTTCCAATCAGCGTATCCACCGCTCTCGCCTCAGTTTAAGCGGCTTTCTTGGAATGGATGGGTGTTGTGTGCTTTGTCTCCCTGTTTTTTTCACTGACGTTTGTTACAAGTGTTTACCTTCTGCGTGTGTTCGAAAACATGTCTACGTTCTCCGGTTTTGGGAGGTACACTGAGGTACTGAGCTTAAACCGCAGCAGCTGGTAAGGCAAGCAAGAGGGCAGCAATACGTACGCATGTACGCATAGCCTCATGCTTTCGTGGTTGCTCGAGGGGGTCCGCTCGACAGCATAGTAGGATATTTCGTGCAGCGCCCCCCCCGCGGGTCTCCTTTCCATTTCGCGGTGCCCCTGAGACGATGTGTACTCCTCGCGGCGTTCGTACGTACAGACGTAGCCGCCTGTATGCGTGTGTGTACGCAGGGGGCGCAAGACGCCGCCGTCTCTGACCGTTCTCGATCGCCCCAACCCCACGCTTCTTGTTTTTGCCGTCCGTCCTTTGCGCCAGGGTGGACGAACGGGATCGTCGTCGTCGTCGTCGTTGTCTCCCGAGGTGGCGGACGGCCTGCGGTCTCGGCTGTTCCAGCTCGAAGAAGAGAACGCCTCCTTGAAGCGCACGGCGGAGATGGAGCTCCCGCGCGAGGTTGAGTCCCTCAAGCACCAGGTGAGAGGGGATCTGTCCTGAATGTTTTTTTTTCTTGCGGTACGGTGCATGCGAGCTGTACATGATTGTGAAACGTCTCTCGATTTTTTGGCCGTCTAGTCCGCACGCGGTTGTTGTCCTGGCCTTTGGGGTTTGCCTTCGCTACGTCTCTACGATGTAGGGTGTGTGTGCCCCGGTGGTGAGCTAGAATTTCTTACCCCCCTTCCGTGTTGTTCTTTAAACTGGTGGCCGTGGTCTGTGCTGTCTACTGCAGCACCAAACCGTAAACCTTGGCCGCGGTAGCAGTGCTTCGCTCTTGTTCGGTTGCGCAACGCCTCCTCCTTTCGAGCAACCACAACAACGCCTCGTGAATCGAAGGCTTCCCCTGCCTGTCCTCTCGCCCCTTCCGATCGGCGGCCTCGCGCGCGTGGCCGAACAACAAAGCGGGAACGAACCAACTGGTGACGGTATCGCTGGCGACCCTGACCTGTCTCCTTTCTTCGCATACATACAGGTCCGGACGCTGCGCGCTCAGCTCGAAGAGACCGACAACCAGCTTGAGGAGGCGGAACGTCGCGCTAAAGTCGTTGTCGCGAGGGCTCTCAGCTCGGACAGCAACAGCGGCGGCGGCATTCTTAGGGCGGAGGAGGGCCTCTACCATGACCTGCAGGCGGCGAAAGATGAGGTGGTGGCGCTTAAGGCCATCGGCAGGGACTTGGAGGGACAGGTGGGGGCGTAGTTTCCTTCTGTTTTGCATGCCTTAGCGGTTAGACCATAGACCACGCGGCCTCGAGAGGGACGCGTGGGGGGGGCTAGGATGGATGGATTCGTGGTGACTGAGTAGCCGGGGATGTTCGGATACTATTTTGACAGTGTAAGGGAGACTGTTGAAGCGGCGAGATGATGGGACTGCCCGTGGTAAGCCGGTTTACGGTCGATTTTCATCAGCTATTTTGATGGAATAGGGAGATTGTTGAAGAGGCGATACCACTGTGTGAGTTGGGCCATGGCTTCTCCCGGAGGAAACGAGTTGTGCTGCCCGCGTGCGGGGCGACCTCTTGGACTTTTTGCCGCACGTTGTGAGCCAATCTCCCCGGTGTGTGCATACAGCTGTAGTGACTCCGTCCTAAGGCAGCATACTTGAAGGGATGCGGCCGGCGTTATACCGGGCGCCCTGCACCATTCAGAACATGAGACACAAGTTGAACATTCCAATCTGTGTCGATCACGCGATTTCACCGGCCTTCCACGGGGCGACCGGCCTTATTCAGGGACTACTTCTGTTGTGCTTATCATCCTTGCTTCCATCAGAGGCGTGGATTTTTTTAACACGGCGGTTGGTGACGCACACCGACCTCTCTTGAACTCTACTCCGCGGGGCCGCCGGTCTTGTCGACCGCCGCTCCTTGCGCTACACACCCTCACTCCTCTCTGGGTTGGTCTTAGGGATACTCCTCTTTGACTTGGTCTTGGGACTCCTCTCTGGCTTGGTCCTGGGGGACGTGTGTGCGTGTTGCAGGTCCTGCAGCGCGACTCCGTTAACGTTGAGCTCCGCTTCGACCTGGAGGCGAGGACAGCAGAGACAGAGCGGCTCAGGCGAAGAGCGAGGGAGCTCCAAGCCGCCCTCAAGACGGGCGGTGGCACCGCGGGAGCGAAGGACGGGTCGAGGCCGGCGGGCGGGCGGTTCAAGCGAGAGAGGTTTGTCGCTTTTGGTGTGGTGACGGAAGGAGAACGACAACTATCATAGCTCTCGCTGTTGGGGGCGGCGCATCGAACCAAACGCTTCGGTAAAACGCCCGCACCCTTTGTCCCACCCCCCCCTATTTACTAAAATCGTGCATATTTTTTCCAGCCTGCTCGTGTCCTTCTGTTGCGCTCTTGACGCTCTCCTCGCCCCGCCCCGCCGCCGCCGACTTTCCAGGGATCTTGAGGGGGTGGTGGATGCTCTCAAGCGCGTGACGGACAAGCTGAGGGGGGAGAACGACCGGCTTCGGAGGATGGCGGGAGAGGGAGGCGGGAAGGCAGAGGCGGAGAGGAGCGCTCGAGAGGCCAAGAAAAAAGCGGTACATAAAGTTCTTGCCTCAAGGAGGTTGTGAAACTGACATGCTTTACTTGCTTGTGTTTTTCGCGGTTCGGATGGGCAAAGCTTTGAAATTCTGATATCGACAGCAGCTACTTTTTAATACATGGGGCTGCAAGGTGCTGCAGGAGATGTGTCCCGCGGGTCTCCAGATCGCGGTCTCTGTTGTTCGTTTACACGACGTTGATTGAACCAACACAGCGCGAAAATTTCATCCCGTCGGTCGACAGACGGGTTTCATATAGTATATAGGGCGTTCTTACTCCCCGCTGGTCCTCTGTCGTTGCGGAACGCTGAAATTACAAGCAGCGGATGTTAACTGAACACAACAACAGCGACAACAACAAACAAAACAACACCCTAAATAAAACACATGAGATCTGACAAAGGCGGCGGAAATGTTCTTGTGCACCCCCCTGCCGTGTTCCGCGCACACACTAGGCGGCGCTGCGGGAGGAAGTGGACAAGCTGACCGCCAGGGCGAAGGATGCGGACAGCGCTGTTCAGAAGCTCGCGCAGAAGCAGGTCTGCCATGGTTTGTTTTCCTTCTGTTTCGTCGAGTTTATTTGTACGTCCGGGGGGGGGTGATCCGAAGCGAGTGCTGGGACGTGATGGTGGTGGTGGCAGTGATGCGGGGAGTTCGATAGCTTCGTCTGTTCGTGTGAGCGGTTCCGCCTCGCCAGGGTCAGGAACGCCGTCGCGAGGATATTATCATTGGTCTGTGAAAATAGAGAGGGGGGGCTCGTAGCCCTATCCCCCAACCCACGCCGCAACCCATATGCATACCAAAACCAAGGCTACCAAAACAAAGGTTACTCCCCTTTCTCGGAAGCAACATATTTTTTTGCTTTTGCTACAAGACGAAAAGCCAACAAAAAGTCGATCTTGGGGGTGGATACCGCTTGCTCCACCTCCCGCGGAATGCAGAACGCCTGATGGGAAACCCCACCCGCTCCCCCATCCTCAGGAGCTGGTGAACCAGCTTCGGCGCACGCTTAAGGTGCGAGATGCCACTATCAAGACTTTCCAAGAGCGAGCAGAAGATCTCGCGGAGACGAAGACGCTTCTTTCGGCTGGTGAGCGTTTTCGCGTGTTTTCCCTTCTCAACCAATCCTCTTTTTTGTGTAAACCGAGACGAAGACTTTTCTCTCGGCAGGTTGGACTCTTTGTGTGTTTCCCGCTTGCTACCCTTCGGGTTGCCCAACGCTACGTAGCTACAGCAATAGTCCATGGCCTAATTCCCCAGCAACTAGTGTCAAGAGCACTGTCTCAACCCCTCCGATGCTCCTCGCCTTTGCCTGGTGGACCTACCGCCAGAACTCGAAGCCGCGAACCAGCGCTTAGTCGCAAGCGATCGCGACAGCCGGTCGTCCGGCAGATCCCGGCCTCCTGCTGCTGCTGCTGCTGCGCACACCGCGAGAGAGCTGGAAGACGCGAAGAGAGAGGCGGCAACGCTGCGGCAGCAGGTGCAGCACCAGTCGGAGGTTGTCGATCGTCTCAGGGGAGACATGAACCGCGACCGCGAGGAAACGGCGGCGGCGGCGGCGGGGCCGGGAAGCGAGGCGGTAGAAGCGGCGAGAGCGCCGGCGGAGTCGGCGCAGGACGAAGCCGACGAGCTTAGGGACCGCCTCGCGGAGACCGAGAGGGAGCTGCAGAGGATGGAGCGGCGTTGTGCTAGCGCCATGTCGACGGCGTCGCGGGGAGGGGAAGGCGCCGCTGATTCTTTCGACAGAGGCAGCAAGGACCTTCTTCGAGTGAGCGGCACCGGCGGGCTGGGGTCCCGGGGTGATGGAGAGGGCCGGTTGACGCAAGACAGGCTCAAGAAGGAGAACGACAGGCTCAGGGAGGAGAATGACAGGCTCAGCGAGGAGCTGGGGGCGTTCGACCACGAGTTTTTCGAAGAGATCGAAGACCTCAAGTACAAGTACAGCGAGGCCGTGCGAAAGCTCCGACAGTTCGAGCAAGAGCGAATAGGAGGGTGACGGTGTTGTGATGATAGAGACTACGTAGAGCCGGTGCTGTGTCCAGAAAGAAGTATCAGCCCCGAAACACGATTAGAAGGTAGACACCAATCCCGTGGTGCGTAAGGGGCCTGCGAGGGTTGATTTTTTGAGGACTACTGGTATGTCACAAGCTCTTCATCAGCGCCTTCCAAGGAAAAGTCTAGCATGCCTTTCTCACAAAGAAGGATATGCTAAGCCTTTCTCAGGGCAACGTGAGAAGGATATATATGCTAGGCCGAAACAAGGCCAACTCCCCTGCCAAGTGGTTCCAAGACATGCAGTACAAACACACGAAACCATTTTGCTCTCCGAGAGGGCTCGCCCGAATCACACGGCACGGCCGCAGTACGGGAAGGTCGCGCGTGCCACTCCGGAAGCATCGTGCTCCTGCACCTTGGGGAGAGAAAGAGGGTGCCCGCACTTCTTGTATTGGCCAACGTTTTTATATAGAAGGGGTTTTCTGGCTGGTGGGAAAATCCCTGATTGACCGTTGACGTCGTCCAATGGCGGTCTATTAGTTCATTTTTGGAAAAAGTCAAAGATTTCGGATTTTGCCCTGGGATTGTGACAGACATGGGTTGGTCAGTCGCTCCTGCCGTGGTAGATATAATAGTACATTATGCTGACCTTC